TGTTGTAATCAAATTGACTGTGTTTTTTATATAGGTTCTTCCCTCCAGAAATGTGTTACTAGCAAGTGAGTGAGTTACATTACATTTGTATTGATCTGACTTTTGTACTTTCTCCTACTTCCCCTGTTTGTGTGGTGGTTTGGTTCAGTGTGATATCTTTGTCATTAGTACATTTCATGATTATTGTTCTCATTATCTTTGCTTCAAAGTTCCGCCAATATACGAAACATATCATTGTTTTAATGTGGTAATGTCTCGAGCTCTTCTTTCTTTGAAAACAAATTGACAATCACATTTTGTGTTGAACAGACACGAGAAAAGTGGGAATGAACAGTTTTTTTACTGAACTTGGCAAATGGATTTTCCATGAAAGAGGTCCTCAAGGTTTGTATTACTCTAAAGCTCAATGATTTCATGTTCTCTTTGGGGACACTGGTAACTCAAAAATTATATTAATGTTTATTGTAGACAATACATTGGTCAGGCTCTTTGTAGATCCCTGGGCAGAGATGCAGCTACTAGAAGGGGTGTACTTTTCGCAACACAAGAACTGCATAATGAGTTTGGAAAGAGCATTGTAGGACAACATTTGTTGTGCAGGTACACAGTTTACAGAATATATACACATACACATGAAGAAAAGGTCCATCTGAAAATAATTTAATTAATATAATATACAGGGATTTGAAAATGTTGGATCTTGGGCTGCTCGGTTGATAAGGGAAAAAGGGTGGATAATAGTTGGAGTGAGTGACATAACAAGAGCTATAAAGAACAACAATTGTATAGACATACTAAGCCTGATCTAACACGTGAAAGAAAAAACTCATGGAGTGAAGGGGTTTGAAGGTGGGACAATATAGATCAAGATTCCATATTGGTTGAGGATTGTGATGTTCTCTTCTCAGGGGCTCTTGGAGGAGTCATCAACAGCGATAATGTAAAAGACATTAAAGCAAAATTCATAATTGAAGTTGCTAATCATCCTACTGATCCAGAGGCGCTAGAGGCTGATGAAGTAAATAATTATAGCATCTTATTGCAGCATTATATTGGTTGCTTTTAACTAGCAAAATTAATTCAATGGCATATATTGTCGAAGAAGGGAGTGGTCGTTCTTCCAGAAATCTATGCATAAATTCAGGAGGAGTTACGGTGAGTTACTTTGAATGGGTTCAGGTGCATTGTTATCTAATTATAAAAAATAATTACAAGCAATATATTAGAAATAGAAATTTGTTAAGTAATTAGATAGGATAATGTGTTGTATATAGTTATTAATAATAATCATACATGAAATGCAGAACATACAAGGTTTCATGTGGGATGAGGAGAAAGTGAATGAGGAGCTTAAGAGATACATAAAAAAGAAATTTAAGGATTGTAAAAGAGATGTGCCATACAGTGACACTCAAAGGCAGCAACGACTCATGTGATCTGAGAATGAGAGCCTTGTGCTTGGGCGTTAACCGTGTCGCCACAATTACCATTCTCCGAGGATGGGAAGCATAATCATCGTCATAATCATAACCATAATAATCCTCCAACTAGGATTTATTTACTGCTATTTTCACCCGACAACATTTTATATGTTATCTTCTTCCGCTTTTGCTTTAATGTGTGTTAGTATTTCGAATAATGCGATTCATGTATGAATATAATACGTATTAATGTAACGTACTTATCAAATATATACACACACACACACACACACACACACACACACACACACATATATATATATATATATATATATATATATATATATTGCTTGATTTATTAGTATATCTCCTGAGTTTGTTTGTTCTCATAATTTCTTGAAACTCATAAGATTTGTAATCCATGTCATGTAAAATTCTATTTGATATTGTATAGTCAACATGTAGTTATTAGATTGTTGACGGTGTCATTTTTTCATAATGTGTGGAAGATATAAAGGTTTGTATTTACCATAAAGTGAAACAAAATTCTCCCCGAAATTTTTTAAAAACTCTCGCCTCTAGAAATTAATTAATTAATTTATGGCATAAAGTTGTCAAAATTAATAAATTAGATTTTGGTATTGTTTATTTGATGTATCTGATGACCATTTTTATATTTAGTATGAAATGTGTTGTTATTAATAGAATTTAATCAAGGAAATAAATAGCTCGCTAAAGTTGCCGCTATTTGAGAAATAGCTTTTTTTGGCAGCGTGCCGCTATTTGTATTCACGTGCAATTTAGCCGCTAAATCCCGCTAAATCTCCGCTATAGCTCTGCTATAGCTACAGTACCATAAACATTTTAGCCCGCTATTTAAAACCTTGGAATTTATGGTATAAATTGAATGATTTTATTTTAGACTATCTTAAAAAATTAGATTTGCTTGCAAATTACAAAATACTAAAAAAAATGTGAATATTTTTTATTCTGTTTTATGTTTTTTTTTTTCCTAATATGTTTTTACTGTTAGTGATGTAAAAATAACATAAATGTTTGGACCATCAAAATCAATTTATATCTATATGAAATATATAATAAAATTTCTTATATAGTTTAAATTTGGGTTTCAAATATAAAAGTCAAATAAGTAATTATTCATGACTTACGGGTCAATATTAACTTGGACGTAAACGAAATAATCAATTAGTTATAGTTTAATAATTACTCAACTACTTAAATTTTTAATCTAGATAGTTTAACAAAAATAAAAATATTATAATTAATGAAAAAATATGAGTTTTATAATTATAATTATTATTCACATAGATTTTTATATATATGAATTGTTTTCCAAAATAATTATATTACAGAATTACACTGTAGTTGAATCGAATTTCGGAATTAAAATTTAAAATGACACTTATTTTGTATTGAATATAAAGTAATTTATCATAAACTACGTGCATTGTACGAGTTGTGTACTACTTTTAAATAGACACATTTTACATAATTTTACACAATTTAAATTTTATATAACATTTTACTAAATTAATATAGGTAAATTGTATTGCACATTGATTCCATATTTTTAACTTATAAATCTTATCTAATTAGCATTTTCAATTTATAAATATTAATGAGTATCTCTTACCCGTGCATCGCACGGGATTCGTACTAGTTAAACGAAACATCTCTCTTTTCATTTATCTTTTACTTTGTATTAAATAACTAATCGTTAAAATTAATTCAAAATCAAAAAAGTATGAGCTAAAACGGATAACATATTAAATAAACTACATGTTTTTATTTAAGAGTTTTTGTTAACTTAAAATTAAGCTTTATTTATTTGTTGAATGTGAATCTACCTTCTTGCCTAGGAAATAAGTCTTAAACAAATTGAGTCAAGCTTCAACTCTTGAGTTCTGATACTACAGTTTGGACTTAATCTTTATCGAGTCGAGCTTATAAACGAGTTCAAATTCTGCTAATCAATATTAATGAACTGAACTCGAATCTTAACGAATCGAACTCAAGCCTTAATAAATAAAATTGTAAAAAGTTACTTAAAATCCTCATTTTTGAGTTTTGGCGAATCACATTTTATCGAGTCTGAGCCAAAAAAAAAAACACAAGAAGCCACCGCAGTAGACCATACAGATGCTTAGAGCACAATACAAATTCATTCTTTTGTGCCGACTTGAGGTCCCATTAACCTGAACTTCGTTGATGGTCACTACAATTTTAATAATTTTTCACCAAACCCTTATAATAATGTTAATCCCTTCGTCGTCAAGCTCTTCATTTCACGTGGGGTTTACTTATAATCAGCATAGCTTGTGTACCAGTTGGCGTTTATTGAGTCAACAATTTATGCTCGCGTTTTGCGCACATCTTAGCCGGACAAAGTGTACAGCCGGAGTTCGGAGCGTTTGAGGTTTTGATAAAAAAATTCAATCTTTTTTCTTTTAACTGTGAGATGGGCAAATTTGGTTTATGTTTGCTGCTAGCTTTGTCCCTGTTGATGCTTCCTCTGCTGCTACATTTTTCATTTTCTTGGTTTAATTCGACAAGCAGATTCAAGCTTATAGATAGACTGTTGAGCTTCAGAAGTCAATATTTTGTCCAGCCAATTCGTTTCTTATCTGGAAGGTAGTTAGGGTGTATTTTGGTGCTCTGTATCATGTATGATTGTAAGGTTAGGCTTGAATAATGTTATTGTTGGAATATGTTATTTGGTTACTTTTGATTGGTATGAGAATCAACCCATGTAGAACTTATTTGGTACAGACATCTGGGTAGGCTTTATGCTGTGGCTGATGTTAGAACATTTCGAACAATGAAGTCTTTAGAAAAGCAAATTTTCAGTTGGGACTTGCTTCTTCTACGTTCACAAATTCTTGTGTGAGTCGACCTAAACGTTAGGCGAGTCGACTCATCATACTCTTTAAAGACTTTTCTAATTATAACTTTTCACCTCTCATATATGTTGAGGCTTTTGCTTCGGTTTGATTTCACCCTGTTAGAGGCCTTTATTTTCAGCTGAAAATGGATTACTCAGTGTTACGGATATATTTTTTTTTTTTTTAACCTCCATGTGTATTGGTCTGTATATTTGGGGAATGTGGAAAGCCTCTCTTGAATATGAATGTTTTGAAAATTATGCCACTTATATGGAAATCATAAGGAAGATATGGCCTATAATTAAAATTGTACACTGGCATAAATTGTATAATAATGTTAATCCCTTCAACCTCATACTCTATGTGTCACGTGGGCTTTACTTATAATCAGCATAATTGCTGTTACCATTGGTGTTTACTGCATCTACAATATATGCTCGAGTTTTCCGCGCATCTTAGCCGGAGAAAGTGTACAGCCAGAGTTCCAAGTGTTTGAGGTTTTGATATAAATTCATTTTTTTTTCTTTTATCTGTGAGATGGTCAAATTTGGTTCATGTTTACTGCCAGCTTTTCCCCTGTTGGTGCTTCCTCACATTATTCGTTTTCTTGGTTTAATTGGATCGAGAAGCAGATTCTACATTATATATAGATTATTGAGTTTCAGAAGTCGATATTTTGTCCAGCCAATTTATTTCTTGTATTGGTCATGATATTTCTGCATTATTCCTGAACCACCTGGAAGTTTTGTGCAGAGAGGTAAGGAACATAATGGAAAAAACGGCAATATTATCGGAGAAAAAAGACGATTCCACCACTTGGGTCCCGCTTGTCGAGGAGTTCACATTTCCTGCAAACTCGGCCCCCTTCAACAGCTGTCATGCTTCGACAATTGTAGAGGTGGTGCCAGATGGGCGCTCGTTTTTGTCCTTCCTTTATTATCATCACCTAATAGAAAAATATTATCGAGTGTGGTTTCCTTTGTTAGGTCGATAAAGATCATTTCATGGTCGCTTATTTTGGCGGCACTGCAGAAGGTGCACCCGACGTGAAAATCTGGATACAGTCTTATAAGGTGATCCACTACACATGTAATTCAAAAACATAAAACCGACCAAATTTCTCATTAGACTTTTTTTCTAACACTAGAGATATTTCTAGTTATGTAAAGATCACGAAACTATGAAGTATACTTTAAGATGCAATAACAATTTCTTTCCTTGCATCAGTTTTATGCTCTTATTTTGTAATTGTGATATTGTGAAAAGAGGCTTATTATACTAAACTGAATGGCAGGATGGCCATTGGGACTCTCCAATCATTGTTGACGAACAACCCAACATTCCAATGTGGAATCCAGTGCTATTTAAACATCCTTCAAACGTGTTGCTAATATTCTATAAAATCGGTCAAGATGTTCAAAAGTAAGTATTTTGATTCGACCCATCACCTTTTTTTTTTTTTTT